TTAATAGCACGACAATTTAATGATATACTTCTCATTGCTCTATTGTCCTCATGCATTATTTTAAATTCTATGTTTGTTTAAATGAAATATGGACAAGGGGAAAAAGAACATCTGAAATGGAACTTGACATTCGGCCTTCAATTACGAATTAACAAACCTGCATAATTTATAAATATCCGGGACCCGCAGAATTACCCTTCTTGCTGATTTTGGAAATTGGTAATTTTGATTAACGGGAACCTTAAATTACTTAAATCATTCGCTAGTGTCAATTGTTTTAAGATTGCATTGCTTTGACATATTTTTTGGAGTGAATACATCCCGATTATATGCTATTTTCATTTCACTATAAAACATACATATGTATTATCTGACCTGTCCTATAGCTAAAGTGAAATATTTATTTGATAATAACAAAACATCATCGCTTAAGCAAGATCTTTTCTATGTTATGTTATACTTGAAGACCACACTGAAAGAAAACGCTTTCAAAGTTTATTCTCAGTTGAAAACTTACAGCATAGGGCGTCGCTCGGACCCGTTCTTTTCGCAGTTAATTTTACGTTTACTTTCAGTTGTAAGCCCGATCTTTAAAATTGGATTAAAGGCATGATATCGCCGACTTATCTACATTTCTGTTTACTAAACAAACACACATGGGGGATAGACTGAGATTTAATAACAACGATTTGATAATTATCTTAACGGGGTCAATAGAATGTAAACTAATTATTCCTACATAGACAGTGTGTCGGAGTCTACTGGAACAGATTATAGTAAGATTAATGGAAGCAAAAATCAAAGAAATACAACCCAAATTAAATATTAATAAAAAATAAAAACCAAATTCCTACGGATAATATCAAAAAAACGTTTAAGGCAATGTAAATTTTGTATATCATCATTCATTGAGAGTAAAATTAATGAATTATTGTTTACAAGTTGCTTAATTAATCATAGTTACAACAACAGTCAAATAAAGCTTCGATGAATTTGATAAAATCAATTACAGCTAAACAAAACGTAAATGCTGTCAAACGTTTGTCTCGAAATAAAGAAAAAAGTCTTCTTATATTTGTTTTTATGTTACAATTCTTTTACTTTACATTTACTTCCGTGTAATTTGAATTTCACGATTTCCAGTATTAATGACAAGTTCAGTTAAGTGGCTTTAATTGGAGAGAAAAACACGTATATTTATATTTGATGGTAAACGATTAAGACATCTGTTTCAAGCTATACACATTCAATTTACTTAATTGATGAAGCGAACGTGGTTTCTTTTCTGACTTTTATAATCAAAAAACCTGTAAACATAATAATTCAACATTAAAACAGTGTTATATGTGGCAAAGGGTCGCCAGTAGTTTTAACGTAAATAAAACACGTATATTTGTACTATTTATAGAAATATCAGATGGTAAACTATTTCGGCCTCATGTGACCCAATCCTTCTCATTGTATTCTTTATATACAACATTGTATTCTTTATATACAACATGGCTTGAAAATGCATTTTCAGTATTCACTAATGAAAGTAACTGCCGTTAAAAATATATCTACTTATAACCATTTGGGCGATACTAAGCAGTTATTATAATAAATGACACTAATGAACATTATTTAATGTAGTAAAGAAGTTAAAGCCGGTGCTAAGGGGCGTGGACGGTATCTTGCACTTTTCAGTACCGTCCATAAACAGGCTCAATCAAACCGAGCCTTCAACATTTTCAATTTTGTCGTTTTGGGCGTTCTTTAGGAATTCCGTTTCTCTCTGTTTTTGAATGTACATGTGTATATTTTAATTCAATTTACACATAATTTACACAAATGCATTATCTATATTAAACTAACTGACTGAAGTATGCTATATAGTGGACGTACAAACAAACGCAGGGGTTTATTACTATCTGACAGCCCTTGACCATCCAATAAACCAGGTCATGTCTCTTCAATGCAAATATACCACTTCAAATAGTGAGAAATTATCATAATTTTGAAGTGAATTTATGGCACTTTTGTCTCGCAGACGAGCGGACGTTTTTATGTTATGCAACCAAAGTCATCATAATTGGCCAAATATTGTCAACAGGTAACTGGTATTGAAGGTAATTTGGCATAAAAGTGGCATTTAGGGTGTCATAAATAGAATAACAGACTTAGTGATTTCTATATAACCAACTTGTAAAACTGTCATCACCAGGGCAAATTAGCTTATTATATTGTTAAACACACAGAAATATAAATTTAATCACCAAACTATGTAAGGTAAAATTACTGAGATAAATTTCCTACAAAATTCGACCATATTTTTCATATTAGATTAACATTAAATTATCTCAGGAAACATTTCGTTGCATCTTTATCATTAGTAAATTCGTATTACCAGTCCCCGCCTTGGATGTATCAACTATATGTATTTACTGCCAACAGTTTCTTTTTCAAAGGCATATTACCAGATTTCTGTCACTTTTTAACCTACTCTATTATAATGTTATGTTTTTTTCAGTGTAATATCAAATCTAGTAAAGCTCGACACACACAGAGCGTTGCGTCATAGTTTTGTTTTATTAAATATTCTAATTTGTAACCATATGTCACTTAAATTTTTCGAATGTTTTAGCCCATTGATAAAATTATTTTTGAACTTATTATCAGTGTAGTTGAAATGATAAAAGGAGACTTCTACCAGCTTTTTACCGCCTCACCATGACTGGCTGGTCGTATATGTAAAATATTTTATCACTGAATAGCAAAAAATAAACTGACATTAATATGTCGCTAATTGGGGCGTCTAAACAGATTCCCACTATTTTCAAACGTAATCTGGCGCCCTATAAAGCATGTAAATTGCCCCTCTATCCCATTTACAAGACATGAGAATAATTAGAGGAAATAATTACAGGGAATAGATTATACATTTGTATAACCCTTGTAATATAAATATCTTGGACAACTAAAATGACATTTATAAATGTTTTACCTGCTCTCCCAGCAATTCAAATACAATTACAGCGATGAAAGAAATATGATTTAAATTTGAATGAAGTAAACCCTAATTAATTGTGGTAATACTCACACTTAAACATTCTATTTGGGAAAATAGAAAATTTCTTAATAGAAACCTATACAATTGTAAACCAATCTAATTTACGCAGATATGAATAGTTAATTTTACATTTAGACATTCCATTTTATACAACCGTTAATTAATCGAAATGCCTACGTTCCGGACCATTCCGTAATTAAACACAAACTTAATTATTCAAATTATATACAATATAATAACTTGGTTCAAGTAAAATTCCAAGTGCTCTTTTCTTCCGCAACTTTTGTTATGTATCGCCAATGTTTGAAATGTTTGCTGTAAATCGATCAAATCCCCAATACCTATTACTAAAACATGTGCTCATAGTGTATTGTAAGTTTCACCGAAAATTAAAATCTTTTCATTTTAGCAAATCACACAGGTTCAACCTTTTGTAAATTCATACCTCACTTGGCTAGTGTTTTGTATAATCCAGAGGCCACTGGCAAATTTCAAAAGAGAACTCATCTTCTATCAATAAGTTTTCTCGTTAAATATGAATGCTCCTTTGAGTTCATTCAATAAGCACTTATTTGTGTTACATTTATTCTCAAAACATTTCATTTTGTCACAGTATTCTTGTAATAAACCGAGGATGTTATTAAAATCTCTTAGCGGGGTCTCTTTCTTTCAAAGAAATCGATTTATAGCGAGTGCGTCCCTTTTTATTAGTAAAAAAGTCTACCATTCAAATCAAATCAATTCGTTTCTTAACCAGATTTTAAATGCCCCTAATGCGTAACAAATTGAGTATTTAAATTTTGCACGGAGAAAGAATTTTGGTGAATTATAAGCATACATTTAGTTGCGTCGACACGTTTAAAGTCGAATGTTTCAATATTCATTCACAACTTTTAACAATATACGTTTTCATAACCTACAAATTGTTCAACTAAAAGACACTTGAAAGTAATTTGATAAAAACAATCCCGAGACAAAAGCAACGGTTAAATATAATAACATACAATGAACCAACCAAACTTCATTAATAACCTAAAATGAACCTACCAAACTTTATTTAAACCTAAAATGAACCCTGCCAAATTTCATTTAAATCATAACACATTCCATATTATATTAATTCTGATTAACTTTGATGAAACTAGTACCTAAAAAACAAAACAGATGTTTATTAAATGCAATTTGGATTCTCAGCGTAACATACTGCTATGAAATATGTACTAATAAAAGAGGCATTGTATCCATTTCTTGGATATATATTTATTAAGCCGTCTGTCGGTTATCCCAAGTTTGACATGGTATCAGATACGGAGTGCCATTGCCGTCTTTGAGACCAAACGTACAATATTTCAGTACATAAATAACGTATTGAAGTTTCCAATTAACTTTCAATTTAGTAGAATGTTATCTTTACACCCTGTCTTACTCGTCAAACTCTGCAGATAGCCGGCTTTTGAACTTGAACAGTCGTTTCATTAAGAGAATGGGCTCTACTTTAATACTCTGTCATTAAAACGATGTTAAATACATAAAAACTACATTCGTAAAACCCTTCAGGTTGCTATGATGATAAAAGGATTAAAAGATTAAAGGATTAAGAAAATAAATACTGCGGAGTCGACCCTGTTGAATGTTGAGAATTTGGTTGTCGTCTTTACTGAAATATAAAATAAATATATGAACTATTTTCCAAGGTCATTTTATTATAAAACGAGTAATAAAGCGTCTTGTTTGATGTTTTAGTTTAATTCTTAGGATTCCTTTCTCCTACACTTTTAATGTCTATATTAAAATATGATTCATTTATTGCTCCACATCAGTATATTCCAGCTAATGTCGAAGTTCAAAAAAAATAATTGTAAAAACTTTTTTCAAGTAATAACAAAAGTGTAGTTTTTTGTTGTAATTTTTTTTAAATGATGATGTTATAATGTGTCCTTTTCTGTTGCAGGGAAAATTAATGACCAGCCGATGTTCGTTTTTAATTTGTCATCTTTGACGTCATCCGAGAAAATAATCAGCGCAGAAATCCATCTTTATAAACGAAAGAAGGAGAAATACAACAAAAAGTCCGAGTTCGAATTACTCTTGCACGAAATAACTTCTCATGTCACAACAGAGCGCGGGAAAATCGTTCTGAAAGCAGAAACATTTGGTTGGCAATGGTTTGATGTAACTGATACACTGATCAACTGTCTTGTTCATCAAAGAGATTTGTCACATTCTCTTGGATTAAATTTTAAAATAGTAAAACCTCACGGTGAATCTTTTATCAATTTAAAACGATTCATGCATCATCATTCAGTGCCATATTTAATCATATATTCGAATGATTCCCAGCATGTGGATTTGGAGGAGTTTGATAAACTATCTAACGCCAAAGAAGTTATACCATCAAACGTTAATTCTAAAGTTGATATTGTATTACCAGAAAGAACTAAAAGAAATAAAAGAAGTCTCAGTGATAATTCAGCGGATTTGCCAATCTATAACTCACGTGCAAGGTCGTTGTCAATTCTAACAAATGAAATTCCCGAAGATCCAGCGGATTATGATCGCCCATATCCAGTCAACGTCAAGAACATTCAAACACATCCGGGCATGTTACAAACACGGAAAGAATCACGCCATCGACTTACTGACCCAGGTTTGATACCTTACCCAGGCGAATACCATGATCGAAGCAAGAAAAGGTGGAGAAATAAGAAAAAGAAAAATAAGAAAAGTCGCCGGCGTAAGAATCATCTGGAATTGCCAAAGGAATGGGAAGATCTGCAAAAAATGGCGGAAGATGAAAAATCTGACAATTTATGTAGCAAGAAAAAACTTATAGTTGACTTTAATGATATTGGATGGGGAGAGTGGATAATTTCACCCAAATCTTTTAAAGCACATTATTGCTCTGGAGTTTGTACATTCCCTCTAACAAAGGTAGGTCATCTGATTTTTATATACCTAGCTCTGTTTACTATTTATAGAACTGTACTTATCTTAAGTGTACCAAATACATTTGTTGAGTGATTAAAAGATGCGAGGAACGCCAAATTCAACAGAATGGATGTTCTTCCTAAACATGTCACAAAAGAGTAGCAAATTTCTTGTGTTACCTTTGATTAGCATTCAAATTTACCATTTTCAGCTTTTCTGTCACGGTTATTAACAAGAACTGTATGTGGCGTGCGGCGGGATAAAATAACGCACCCGTTCTTTTTGTACCATTGCTCTTATCAGATCTTCAATTGGTTTTTAATCTTTGACACTACCAATTATTTTTCCTGGTCAGTGAACAGCCAATCACTTTCCTTCTGTCAAATAACTTTACACCCTGTAATCATCTTAACATCTTCTAGTTCCTAACTTTTTAAAGGCGCATTGTATATGAAATATCACATGTCTCAGCAATAGAATCAACAACATAAATATAACAAAACAGATTGCCGCGTAAAATGAACCCCCTCATTTGACAATTTGACATTCAATAGTCTTGTCTTAGGTTATTAATATAACTTTAATTACTACAGCTTAAACTTGTTTACCCTAAGTTTGTTTAAGGTGTCACATTTTAATGAGGACTCTATAAATATAGAATTTCTGTGTTTTAGACCTAGGCGAGGTGAACAGCTCTGTGGAAGTTCTCATTATTGTCACTCACTGTCCTATCCGTTTCATTTTCTATTATATTCAATATGATTTAAAACCATTTTATGTCACAGACAATTCATTTTCCTGTGCAATTACTTATAGCTGATTAAACCCACAGGTTTCCATTCAAATGTATGTCTATCAAAAACATTTGGTTTAACGTATAAAACGCTGTTTCTTTCTTGTGGAAAAGGGGTTTCAATTTAGTTCGTATTAAATACAAAATTTGAATTGAGTTTTCCTTTAAAAATGTTCATTGTTGTAAATTAATCTTCAGGCGCCCGATGGATATCATGCAAGTAAAAATATCCCTGATATATTGAGGGCATAAAAAGATCTAATACGTGGTTATGTGGTTTTTCTTTAATAACACGAAGCGAGCAGTAAGGTCGGTTGTAAAGTTTTATCGTACTGTCGAGGTCCTTTGACGCCATGCTTTCCGTGTTGTTTATTGTAAACACATGTAACTCGCGTCATGAAAGAAATGCCTTTCATGGCTTTAATACATACCTATAGACATTTAGGTGCTATTTTGATATTGTTGACTTACATGAGTTAAGTACTAGATATGATATGACTATATTGTCTTATTTTAGTACTGTATTTTTAAAAGCAACTTATATTTCTATAAAAAAAAAATAGTTGGGTTTGACACATATTTGCTGAGTGAAATGTACTATAGTCTATTTTACAAGTCAACGGATTTCTAAAAGCACACAAAGAATTTATATTCAATGCTCAATGGTAACATTTTAAGTTTCTTTTCACAACTTAACTTTGCAAACACATATGCAGCAAAGACTTTTTATCATAACTATCATTGCAAAAGAACTTGAGAAGTCACATGACTTAATCTTTTTCAAGAAATAAAAGTTATGACGATGTCACAAGTAACTATTTTACTAATGTCATGAAATTTAATCATTAAACATTTATTCAGTTCACTCGGTATCATTTGTATAAAACGGACTGTTTGTTTAATTTATTTGCTTGTTACAGTTAGATTATGTCAAATGAGATTTTGATCAAAGAGTTTAGTGAAACTTGTTTTCTTTTATCGCACTATTTGACCCCAAATTTACGAGCAATTTTCATTCATGAATTTGAAAGTTTCGTTTGTTTACGATTTGAACGCTTCATTAGTATTTTAGTTTTCGTTTATTCAAGCACTTTTCTGTCAACATATTAGTTTAAGTGAAGATGGCTATCTATAACATTATACAGATTAGAAAACAAATAATCAGACTTCTAGTATTTTATAAGTTTAAGCCGGTGCTAAGGGGCGTGGACGGTAACTTGCACTTTCCAGTGCCGTCCATGAACAGGCTCAGTCAAACCGAGCCTTCTATATTTTCAATAACGCCGTGTTTGGCTTTCTTACGGATTCTGTTTTTTTTTCTATTTTGTTGTGACTTTTTTGTAAATGAACCATAATCATTGATATTTTGGTGGTAAACACACCAAACTATATGATTGTTGAAAACTCTTTTAAGTATCAAACTAATATTATATTTATTCAATGATATAAGTAATCAGGCAAAATCGTGAAAATTTATAAATATATATACTAAAAAATAAACCAAATAAGCTTGAATCCTACAGAATTAAGATTGTTAAAGTCGACTTGTATGACTTCTCAGCAGGAATCTTATTTAGAGTTTAATAGAGTTTAATGGAGTGACAAGATTAACTTGTTTCGCTAAGTTACCTAGATTGCTTTTTCGTGTTATATTATTGAACAAGTATAAAACGGATCTTTAGCTAAGTATGGAACACTATTTGATTTTAAAGCTATTTGTTGATTTCGTAAATAATTTTTCACTCTGAATATAGTAGAAACAAATAAAAACTCTTTTTTAAATATTAGTACGATTTGTAGTTTGCGTTTCCGATTGATATTTCATTACGTCTATAATCAAGTAAAAGCTCATGGATTCTTTTCTTGGTTAAAAGTAATTAGGTTTTCAATCAATAAACTCTAGTCAATTGGTAATTACTGACATCTAGGAAAACTTATAAGACTGAATATCTTGTTGTGTGTTAGAAGAATGAAATTAGTATAATGATAGTTCAATGTCTAAGATGAAACGATTTTTGGGTGGATGAAATGGAATAGTGAAAATTGTATAATGAATACTTTGTTATATGATTTTGTAAAAATGTCACATTTGTTTATAAATCAAAATTGACAATATTGCCTTGAGAAAAAAATCTAATTTCAAATCTTTTCATTTCGAGAAAGAATATATTACGAATTCTCTATTTTCTTGTAGGTCTTTACGTTATCATGACAATTTTGAAACTAACATTTTGTGTTTTTTTTTAATCTATTACAGAAGATGCGACCTTCAAACCACGCAACAATTCAAAGTCTGGTTCATGCTGTAGGGATAGATGAAGATGTGCCGGCACCATGCTGTGTACCAGATAAACTCTCATCAATTACATTGTTATATTTTGACGAAAATGGAAACGTTGTTCTCAAAAATTATCCCAATATGACAGTCCAGAAATGTGCTTGCAGATAGTTTCACAGAAGAAGGTTTTAGATACAAATTTTGGAATTGTTCTAATTTTTTCTGTGGCAGCAATGAGGTCGTATAGTGAAAAATGAACCCTCTCATTGAATGATAAGGTCGTGTAGTGACAAAAACCTCTTGTCATATGTGTATGTTGTGACTTCCAATTAAAGCCAACTACCGACATAAAATACAAATCCGAAGTTGTGCGGATACCGAATTATAAATCTCAGAGTTAGTCTACTCAGGGATCTTATTGATATCAGACCTTCAAAAAGACATATTAAGGTTCTGATAGTCGATACATTATTCAAAGACAAAATCGATCCTTTTTTGTGGATTCAAGCGATCGTACTTAAAGAGGAAACAACAGTACTTGTACCATGTGTGTTTAAGAAACTATGTGAAACTATATTAATATGCGAGCAAATGGATATGATGCACAGAGCAGGTAGTGGTACGATTTTCTAGCTAGCATATCTCGTGAGATGTGTTTAAAACATTGTGTAACATGTTCTTTGACGAAGCATTTGCTGAATTTTCAAATGGCATATGGAAGATAATATGTAGTTTATATGTAAAGTTTTCTCCAATATGGAGTGCATAGTAAATAATAATAATAGATGCAATCGTAATGTTCAATCTTTGAGAACTATTACATACATGTATAGATGTTGTTGTTTGTAACCTGTTTATCTATCAAGTATTCAATGTTCCAGAATAACGTTGATTGTTTTACCAAGACATTAAGATAATAAAGAAATTAAAAAGATAATTGTTAAAATTGCAATACTATATATGTATGTACTATATTTTGCCCAGAACATTTAGACGTCAAACTAACAAACAAAAGTCTATATAATTATATAGCTAATAAAATGAGCTATGCATATACTTTAATTACGTCTACAAATATGTGATATTGTTCCAATTTTTGAACGGTTGTTACCTTGGATAAACCCTCATTTTTATTTTGTTTAAAGCAACTGTCATCAAAATATAAAATCCTATTTAATTTATAGAATTATTTTACGGTATAAGGTCTTACAGACTTCATGTTCGGATAGGATTTCGGGGAGAATTATAGTTAATCAATGTATGGGATTCATCTAATATTTTATTCTTTTGATAGGATGAGTTAATTTGTAAGAATGATTAAGTTAAATCGTGATCATGTTTTACAGGTATTTAGGAGTTCATGTATTTTTTTCAACGTTTTTAGTGTTTGTTTTTTTTTATAATGTTTTGAATAATGTTGTGTAATACTATCTACCTCAGACTCAAAACGTGAATTACGTGAAAAACGTGAAATATCAGCCTGCATACTAGGGCTTCTGAAACCTATTTATGCAGACCATTCAGCTCGTAAAGTATGTGCTGTAATTTCTGTCTACACTAACTTGTTTTTAATTTTTATCTAATTTTCCCCACCAAGATATTAGCTATTATTTATGTATACAAATCATTATATCAATGAATATTATATCAATGAATAAAAAGTAGGAATTTCTAAATAAGCTAAGCTTTAACAATATTTTGAATTGTTTAGAAAAAATTCTTTCTCTCAGGGCATCTCTCATATCCATCCGATATCAACATTAAATTATCATATATTATTTAATAAACGTCATATCCAAATTGCAGAAAACATTATATATTTGTAGTATTGTATAGAATTTTTAAGATACATATGTCTCTAAAGCAAAGGTGTGTGTAAAAAAATACTGGCTCTGTAAAGAAATCAGATTTTAATTTTAGAATTCATCAAGAAAAAAAGATAAAAAGATATTATGTGCAACTATTGTGTCGAATTCAAATCAAGTTAAGTTCATTCGCACTAACGTAAACATTTAGATTTTTTCTTTTCAAATTTGCAAAAATAAAATGACCTCGAGATAAGTGTTAAATATTTTAGAATTTTAAACAAATTGACTCTACGGACAATAACAACATTTGACCATTTGTTTTTATAAGTTATTCAAATACACCTATCAACATGTAGTGTTTGAACAATATAATGTACTGTTTTTAAAGCAATAATTCAGATATGATTTTAATAAAATTGTAACCTAAATATTTCACCAGCAAGTGCTGATACATATTTATTCAGATGCTTGTTTTCTTTTATCTCTTTTAACAATAAGGAATCAACTGGGAATCATTTTGTATGCAATCTAACATACATCAAATTAACACAATTATATACTGTTATTTTTTTCTTTCTTCATTTATTTTGTTTGCATTGTTACTACCTTGAAGCCAGTTTTACATGTTTATTTTTTTTGCATTAAAGACATTATTGATTTTTATCTAATACATTGTAATTTTATGCTATTAATAAAACATGTCTAGATTTGAATGTTGTTATTTACTTGTATTTCAATACTATTTTATGTGTCTATATATAAATCCCTAAACACATTTCCTAAAAGGTCAAAACCTCATTTTCAAGGAAAGAAACTTAAAAAAAGAACCCATTTGTTTTCATCAATTTAATTTTCTGTAAAGCAGCCTGCCTCCAGATTGATGCTAATTTTCATGATTTTTTTAATTGAATTAAAAAGTAAAACATTGTCAGGTGAACAAAAGAGGTCATTTAAGCATTTCAAACAGAAATCTAAATCTACGAAAACAACCAAAAATAGATCAGAATATAAAAAATAGCCCTTACTGCGTAAATCACACATTAAAAATATGGTCATAAATACTGCAAAATCAGTCATTAGTCCCATACAAAATGTTAATCATTTCTTGAATTGTGAATACTTTTACTTTTCTTGAAATCTTCGTGAAGATTTTCTTGAAATATCTATGCTCATCTGGAGGCATGCAGCTTTAATCATGCAATGTTTAAGAAAAAGAAAGTTACTTTGAATTTAAAATTTCTTTTCTGCCTATGTGCGAAAGCAGTTTACAGTAACTGATAAAAATCGTTGTTTCTGTTTATTGTAGTTATGATGATACAATTTTAAAAGCATCGTTTGATAATGAATAAATAAATAACTAAATTCAAACACTAACACCTCACCTTTCGGCTTCTAAATAAAATTGGGCAGCGGCGTTACTCTACTCTGATGCCTGGAAGAATGGACGGACACTAAGTAAAATAAAACAATCAATTCGAGATATATAGCATATAAGTGAAATTATGGAATATAAAAAAAAATACAATTGATTCAACTGATGGCTTTCATTTTGATTAGACAATAAAATTTTTTTTTATCTCGTTTCGCTTATTATCCTTCTAGATATGGAACATACTTTTTCTTGCAGGTAGATATAAGTCATACAACAGTATTCAAAAGTCTATATATGACCACTGCATGAACATATCTGATGAAACTGCATTTCAAAATTGTATACAAATTGCGGAAGTAAAAAAGATAACAAAATTTGTTTTTGTACTGGGGTTTTTCTTGGAAGTCTTAATGATTAAAACCAGATCCCCAAGCAGGAGTAAGCACAAAGCTTGCTGGCTTTTTAAAAAAATTTAAATTGCCCCATTGACTAAAATTATTCCCTAAAAAAACCCTAGTGGTAGAAAACCTTGGTTTAAAAATCTACGCTTGTTTGAAGTGATTTTAAAACATAAATCGTACCTATCATCCGTGCATGACAGTAATTTGAAGTTGGGGGTTCAGAAAATTGTAACGTCTTAAGAAGTTTTTCTATCAAGTGCTATTGACTCGCGATTAACGTCGAAGAATGGTCGCCAGTAAAGGGCTTTAACAAACGATACAAAATAAATTTCGCTTTGCTTCGTGTTTGTTTTCCACTCGAAATATCATTGAGAAAATCCTATTTCAAAACTTTAATTTTCTAGGTTTTTTATTAATATCCTGTGAGGGTTCCTACAGTATTTATTTAGTACCTTATATTTATCAACAATGATTTACAGGGTTACTCCGTGAAATGAAAACATCTGGGCTCTACACATGAACCAAATAGTTCTGGCACAATTCGAAGAAATGGCACAAATGTAACATGTAACAAAATAATACAGTACAAACACATATATAAAAAACAGCAAACACAAATAAAAAAAAGCTTAAAAATAGCTTAGAAAAAAGAAATATCTGACAAATACTAGTTTAGAAAAAAAAGCAACAAAGCAAAACAAAAAAGCTAACAAAAGGCGAACAAAAAGCTTAGTTTTACGTCATTTCATTTTTGTGTGGTTAATAATGAACATTCAGACATATTTTACGGGATAATTTCATCACATCATGTCATCTCATAGTTTGACTGGTTACAATGATATCAGGCAATACGTTTCGGCGCGAAGTAATCGATTTTATTAATCAAAGAAAAATTGATTCGTCATTGTATAATTCATTGTTTATTTGCGTTTTAATTGGACATAATTTTGGCAAATGATGAGGCCTCAATTGTCGCCATGACAGTTGACTTCCCTGCGGCGGAAATAAGAATCCCCTTACATTCATCATGACGTCACGCGCTTTAAGGTAGAAAATCGAACAAATGTATTTCCATGTTATCACAATTGTCGGTACCTTGATTATTTGACATATTTGACAGTTGATCATAATCGACCCGAGCAATAACAATTTTAATGTTTAAGTTATGTTTGATGTTAAAGCATTATTTCGTTGCATTAATTCGTTTATGTCAATATCAATATTATGTCGTTAGACACACGAACAGCTAGAATAAGAAATATATATGCACATTTTGTCAACTGTACGACTACATTGACTATCGCTATAAACGTCAAATTATAAGCATTAATTCTGCAAGAAGATGTTCCAGTAAAATTCGTGTATACAATAACATGAAATCTTACAAGGTACATGTAATGTGTTGCTTTCACTTTTATCTATGGTCCATCATATTAAATTATGCGCTATCACGTCAGTCTTACCATTGGCACTTTGATTAGTAGAATTCACATTTATATACGAATGTAACGATTTAAAAATGACTACATTCTAAGAACTTTATGACATATATACAAAAACCGATGGTGACTTTATGACATTATCAGAATCCCCTCCATCAATATCTATTTGGAATGTGATTTATACCCCAAGTGAAGGAACAACAACATACCCTAACGAAAAACAAGATAGATAATCAATTCACAATTAAGATTAAAAAGGTGAAGCAGCAGTTCGTTCTCGTTCTTGTTAAGAAAAAATAACAGTGTTTTATGTTAAATCGAAATGAATCTTTGAAAATAATATGTTCTCAAAAATGTTTTTAAAAAGTATGAATAACAACATAAAGTTGTGCATGTGTTTCCTCATTTAATAACAAAAAGATAAAAATATACAAGACAATCTCAACTACTAGTAATAAAAATATATTTGTCTTAAAGAGTTATTTATTTTATATATGCTATTAATTGTCTTTACTCGCAAAACAGTAGACGTAGAGCTTTGAAAACCTCTTCGAATTTTGACTACTCTGTCGATGTTTTTGATTCTATTGAAAGGACTTTGAACAAATATATCATTTTAGACATAAACCAAAGGGATTTTCGGTCTTTTCATTCGAAACAAACGAACAAATTGAAAGAAATTCAAACTGAAAAACTCTTGGATATTTGCCCTAGAATGAATGGCAGATTCAAAGTGATTATTGTTTAAAAATAATATAAGTGCCATACGAGTTCATCAAAATAGTGCAACGGAAATTGAAAATGTTTTTGCATCTAATGTGATTAATATTGCTAAATTACTTTCTCCTTTTTACACAACCACAAAAATAGCAACGCGAACCTTTCAAAGTGTTATTTTCTATTTCCCAACTCATAAAAGTATGTTTTAATCACCTGACAGGGGTTGTGCAATCAGCAACATTTAAAAGTATAAAAGTATATATTTTCACATACAACTTACAGTAGTTTCCATAAACGTGTTATATAAATGCATCTTCTGAATCAAGGTCACACGAAAGTGATATATTGCTGTCGAAAAAACGAAGAAAAGTATTAAAAACTTCTACATATTGGTGATATATGTTTCACGCAAACATTAAAGAAATATTTAGGAGACACACGTACTCTGTGTCAATAAAATAAACACTTCTAAAACTATTATATACAACACATATATTACCTAATATGTACACGTGTAAAGAAATTCACATAAATGGAAATAAATGAAAATAGGTAATGCAAAGTTAATGTATGTTTTATTTCGGACAACGACAGCAGACTGCAGGCCGCCATCTTGAACAATCACTGACAACAGAGGCAGACTGCATCCATGCCTCTAGGTGATTCGGACTCATGCACGCGCCACTTTGACCACCAACAATTTCTCAAACATCACGAGAAGTGTTAAAAACCCTATAATTTCATGTGTATTGACAAATATCTTGTAACCTCGACAAAGTATGGCGACTTTTTTGTCATTTTTTAGAAGTTGAGAAATTTGTTTTCATACAAATTGCAACAATGCTGCAAGTGTTCCTCCGAACATATCTAATTAATGTCAAAAATCTGTCCTAGCGGTATTGAAAGTTATTTTCTATAAGTTGATGTATTAATACTCGCAATTTTACTATCTCTTTAGCTTTGTAAAATCTAATTACAACTTACGAAAAGGCCATTTATTTCAGATTATCTCTAAACATAAACCGCAAGCTTATTGCATGCATGGCTGTACACGATTTATAATTTAGTTTTAATTAGCTTTAACTATTATGAATTATATTTTGAAAGAGAATAAATGTAATAAATACGTTCATTTGTCAGAGATCAAAGTGCTAATGAATTTTTAAGCAATTAAGTCTATCTAGGGACGACATCTTGATATTTTTAGATGAGTTCAGTACGTGTAAGCTACAAAATTAACCCAAACTAACGCACTGTTACGATTGTTTTTGAAAGTGAAATGATTTCAACATGTAATGTTTCGATCTAAAAGGAACAAGTAAAATTGTTAGACATACTAATACTGAGCTAGAAAATCATTTGAAGGTGGGTAAGTTTACAGCTTTGTGGTTACAAGATGATAAAATGTTATTATGTGAGCCAATAAATGCATGAAACGAATGATAATTTAGTCTTCTTTTTTCAAATTAACAAGCGACTCGATAGTGAAAGACATTCTTTGAAAAAGAGAAAAGAATGAAAACGTTTTCCTGGTCTTCTGGATCGTTCAATGCTACTGTTGTAGAAATTTCAGGAAAATTATACATTATTTGCATAGTAACCTTCGTTACATCATACATTACAGTTATTGAATAAATAACGTTTTATCATACACGTTAAGCTGTCATCTCTTTATTTTCTGCCTCCTTATCATTCACGTTGAAACAATAAGCCCGAAGGAAAGATAATTAGCGAATAATTACAAGCAATTTAGACACGGCCTGTGGCCAATGTCCATC